AATCATTTGGCCCTGTTTGTGGTAGATGTGCATGTACAAGGTATGTTATACACTAAGTATAACAACCATTGGCTGTCGCTGCCAGCAATCACTGCGGGTCTGGTCCTTGGCTTTCAAAAAAAAAAACACCCTGGGCTTTCAAAAAAAAAAAAAAAGAGAGAAAAAAAAGGTAGGACGAAAGAATTGATACTTTGAGAGCTGCGATCCATGCAAGTGTGTTCCTTTAGGACCATTTCTCGATTTGTGTGTGTCATCCCCTGGTGGTGCGATCATGCCAATCTTCTCCATATCTTTTGTCCAATTTTACGGATGTCCTTCCTATGGTAGACATTCCAACTTTGGCCTTCCCCTGTTAGGCTATTTGCAGTTTGCTATTTGGCTATTTGTGGTTACTCTTTGGCTATTCGTCGTTTGCTATTTGACTATTTGTGTTGCTGTTTGGCTATTTGTGGTTGCTTTTGGGGCTATTTGTAGTTGCTTTTGTCCATGGACTGGCCGTGTTTTACGGCAGATGAAGCCTGTATCGGTATGTGACAGATGGCAGAGGGAATTTCTAGCCCCTGCTTTGAGTGTTCTCTACAACGCAGATATTTCCTGACGTTTTCCTCTTTTTTTTCTGGACTAGAGGCAGATTTGAACTCTAACCTGTTGATGAACAGTTCTTGGTGTGTACCATTCAGCCCCCCGAACGACCATTTCTCGATTTATGCCTGTCATCCTTGCGCAGGAGGCCCCCGAAAGACACAGGGCCCCCGAAAGACACAGGGCCCCCGAAAGACACAGGGCCCCCGAAAGACACAGGGTGGGAAATCTCTCACATGCGCTGCCAGATAACGTGTCTTTTTTTTTTCTTTTTCTCCAAACCTTTATTTTTTTTTGGGGGGGGGGAAAACAGCTCTGTCAGATAACGTGTCTAATAATTGAACTCAGGGTTTTTACTGCCACCTATCACACAGAAGGGTATCACATCAGATGTTTTTGCTTGACACCGCTACTCGTCTGACTGTTTTACTTGCTTGGTAAAAAAAAGTGCAAATCAACTTATACCCCCCTCCCTCCTCAGTTGACATGTACGCCACAGCGCTTACAGAGCCGCCAGTTTGCAGCATCCTCACGAGTCGGTGAAACTCCGATGAAACAGTTTGTCATGGCCCCTCGTTTGTTGTCCTCTTCTCCCTCCTCTGCCTACGGTTTAGTGGGCTGCTCTGTGTTGACGAGGGCTGCTCTGTGTTGACGATATATGTCTGCGTAAGCTTTTGGATGTGAAGAGGCTGTTTTCAATTGCAGTTGTATATTGCTCTTGCCACTCAGTGTCTGTCTCTTGAAAAGTTAACATGGGGCCTCGCCACACCACTCTCGAAATGCGAAAAAGACAAAAATTTGGCGGGTGCATCTGGCCGTGTTTTAGGGGGAGGTTCATTCTCATTTTGCACATTTGGAGAGTGGTGTGGTGATGGCCATGATCTCTTTCTCCAGTTTTGTGTCCTACTATTTGTTAGCGTAACCGTTCTGGATGCAAAGAAGCAGAAAAAAAATTACTCAAATCTGTTTTTCATGTTGGTATTGCTCTTACCAGTGCCATCTGTCTCTTGAACGTATCCTGATCTCTTCTTCTCCTTTTTGTGCATAACTCTCCTGTTGCATTTGAAGTTTGAACCGCTCTTTGCATGTCGTTGACTGGAACTCTGTACTTATATACAAACGCAATCGAAGCTGCGAACTCTGTGTCTACCCCTAGTTGAATCATCAGTTTGTTTTCCCAACATCACACACTCCTGACGAGCTGAAATCCATGCGTGAAGCTGAAGGAAACTTCTGAAGGCATGTAGATATGGCATTGCTTTGTCGTTTTCACATTTTCAAAAGCTTGCTTCATTGCCCCCCTCCTTGGAAGAACGTGGAAGTCTGTAGATGGCATTGCTTCTTGCTTTGTTGTTCCTCTCGTTGGAAGAATTTGGAAGAACATGTAGTTTTCACATTTTCAAGAGCTTGCTTCATTGCCCATCTCCTTGGAAGAGTTTGGAAGTCTGTAGATGGCGTTGCTTCTTCGTTTTCACATTTTCAAAAGCTTGCTTTATTGTTCCTCTCGTTGGAAGAATTTGGAAGAATAGATGCATGAGGTCATGTTGAAATTGTCGAAAGCACCACACAGCAAACGCCAAAATTTGTTGCATGATATGGTACTAGAGGCTATGAATGTGTTCTTCATGGAATTGTCGATTGTTTATAGATCATGTTCGCCTCTGCTCCGATCTCATTCGTGCTTCTGCAGACTATGTGAACTGATTAATGCCTTGATGATGCTTCTGTGGCTCATATGCCAAATCTCATGTTGATGCCGTTCCCCATAATGACGTGGTTTTCTTGCCTGCAGGCAGTTGTTAATACACTTCTCAATTGAGAGAGAGTCCTACACTCATCTCTGCTCCAGACCAGGCAATAGTATGAACACACTGTGATCTCCCATTTTGGAAGTGCACAGACAGGGTAGCACGTACTCACACAAGCGCTGTTGTTCATGGATGGTGTCATTAGCCGCGGCTGTGAATGCAACCACTTCTGTCGGAATTCCTCGGGGCCTCGTCCCAGCTGTAGGCAGGGATTGGTACGGGAAGGTGCCCCTTTGAACATCGGATGAGTTTCTCAAAGTTGGCTCAACCCGGTCAAGAGGGGAGGGGCCTTTAAAAAGTTGTGTGTCTGAATAGAGGTCGAGGATTTCCGTTTGGAAGGTCTGTTGAATATCGTTGTTGTTTTTGGGGATGTCTGAGGACTTGTTGATGGGATAATAGACCCGGTTTCCTGCACAAGCCGAAGCTGGGTAATGAACCCAGTACCAGGTAGACTACTGAGGTCGCCCTCCGCCTTGTTTCATAATTTTTATGGAACAGAATTCTGTTTTTCCTCACCAAAAGTTGTGTGCACGATCATCTTTCCCTCTCACCCTATTAAACCACCAGTACTTGGCCCATCTATCGGCTGCGGGAAAAAATAGAGTAGAAACGTTTCTAGTCGGATGAATTTGGGCGCTCCTGTAGTGACCAGTACATTTCCTAAAGTCGTGGCGCGTTAATGGGCACGGCGCTAGGAAGTACTGGTGGTTTTAAGTAATGGTCATGGCTTCAATCTTGTGAATCCTGCAGCAGTCCAGTTCTAGTTCACTGAGGTCATGCCAACAGAGTGAGACCTCCTTGTGCACGAACACAGGTTTAGGTTGGCTGGCGTCCGAAACTAGTGATTAAACCACCAGTACCTCGCCCAGCTATGCAGTCCGAGCCTCAGCCAATCGGTACCCCAATCCTTGCTGAGGTTGGTGCTACCGGGCGGTTGAGAGCCGAGGCTATGTTCCGAAGAAAATGATGAAAATTTGAGAAAAGAGAAGAAAAAAAACGACAACGAGAATGCTGTGTGTAAATAAAAGGAAAAAAGAAAAACAACTCGCAAACAAAAACAAAAAACAGAAAACAATGCACGGTAATTTCCAAAAACAGATATTTGTTATGGCACACGACGAGAGAGAGAGAGAGAGAGAGAGAGAGAGAGAGAGAGAGAGAGAGAGAGAGAGAGAGAGAGAGAGAGAGAGAGAGAGAGAGAGAGAG